GATTATGCAGACATTTTAAATCAGATAATAATAACAATATTAATGATAATAATATTAATAATAATCATGTAATTAGTATTAGAAATAATAATCCTTATAAATATAATATCAATACTAATAATTACAATAAGTAATAATAATTTCTTATATGAGTATTCATCATGAGATATAATATTGAAATAACCGGTTTTATTATTGAAGAATGTATGATAATGATAATGATATCAATAATAAAAATAATAATCATTAAGGAAATTTAAAATATTAATGTTAATAATATTAATAACAATAGTAAGAATAATATTTTTTTTTAAATCCAGCACTTATAACGACCATTATATTACGTAGGGCCCAGATGAAAATAAAAGCAAAGGACACAATCACTCGGTATGTGATCAGCAAGATCTAACGACCAATCAAATAATCGGTCTAATTACATAATTAGAAACGTATGACATATATAAATGAACAATCAAATAGCAGTGAAGCATTATTAATTAGATTAAATGTACGTGTATTCTATAGATTATAGAGCTATATATCAACTTACAATAAATGACTATAGTATACCCCTCGTCCTTAAGAAGGGGAAAAGATGACACAAACTCACTTCAGGAATGATGAAAATCACACATAAGCCGTGTTCTCAACAAGGGGGTAAATGTGACACAGCCACGCCGTCTTCTCAAGATGGGGGTAAATATAACATCAACAATACGATTAGTAAGCTTTTGAATGTATCACTTGATGGTAACGATGCCAAAGGCGATTTGATATAGAGACCAACAATATTAATAACACGTATTGAAATCTCTCATTAAGAATTAATCGGAGACTGGAAACTTTATTGTATCTGCTTAGTGACTGTCAACAGCAGATAACAAGTCGATCGGTTCTTTTAGCACGACAAAAAAAATCGTTATTGTCATTATAGCAAAGAAATACCATAGAGAAAAAGAAATGTTCATTTTATGTTGTTATGAACATTATAGTACTATTTTAACTATTATTATCACCTATTTTTATTGATATTAGTATTGTTATTTCAGATAAATTACGGAGCATTGGTCGTAATAAAGAAAAACTAATATATTATTTTATTGTAAAAAAAGTTTACATATTATGATGAGTACATGCATAGGGCCTATAGCTTTTTACTTTGTTAAATAAGTTGTTGGCACGTAAGAATATTATTATAAGTCTACTTACAATTTTTTTATTTTACAAGTTAATAATTTACTATTTTACAGTTGTATTGGCCTAACATATAATCGTATTAAAAAATATGCCCATATATTGGCCAATCATTACTGGACAATGTACAATGTTACTGTTACTCTTACGGTACAATTACTCATATTGAGTCCGTATATTTTATAAATAAATTTAAAAAATGAAAATAAAAAAAAAAGGTTTAAGAAAAGTATAGAAAAAAAATTTTGAAATAGGCATATATCAAAACATATTGATATATACATGTTTTGAAAATTGCCTTTACTGACAAGAAAGAATGAGAAAGAGAGAGAAAAACAAAGAGAAAACCCAAATGGATGTATGGGACATGTTGAAGAGATAATTAAGCCAAATGAAAGTTCTACACCAATATCTATTAAAGTAAAATTTGACAATGATGACATTGGTATTCAGCCAATTGAGATGCATCAAGAGTCCATGGGGAAAAAATATAGTCGAAAGCAATTTCCTCTTAAATTAGCATATGCATGCACAGTTCACAAAGTGCAGGGAATGACAATGAACAAAGCAGTAGTTTGCCTTAAGAAAAGTTTTGTGTCTGGACAAGCATATGTCGCTCTCAGCCGTGTTACCTCGATTTCTGGACTTGTTATTGAAAATTTTGATCCTCACCTTATTCATTGTGATCCGAGAATAAAAAAATGTTTAGAAAATATGAATTCATATGTACAATGTGACGCAGAAGATAATGATTCAGACTGTAAAGTTTCAATAATGTTACATAATATCCAAGGGCTTAAAGAACATTTTGCTGATCTTAAGTGTAATGGTTTGTTTGTGAATTCAAATATCATATGTCTAACTGAAACATGGCTGAGTAAAGATGATGATCTCTTTGAATTTATGTATAGACTCATTTAAATTATATCACCAGGCAAGATATTACTCTTATTCTAATACGAATAATTTGACTTTTAAATTTAAAAATCAGGCACATGGTGGTGTTGCAGTCTATACCAAGAACAAATTTTCAAGCAGATTAAACATACGAATTAATGACATAGAGGCAATTGCATTTTTGATAACACGTCCAATTTCTGTTGTAATTTCAGTAATTTACCGACCTCCTGGCTATAATGTGAAGCAATTCTGTGAAAATTTAACAAAACTATTAGAAGACCTGCATACAGTAAGTACAAAATGTATCATAATGGGTGACTTCTGTCTCTTATACACATCTAAGGCCAAACAATTCATAGTGGATTGTCAATCCCTATTAGTATTTCACTTCCATATCAACCACTTGGGGAAGAAAAAATAAGTGCACTTCGTAATCAGCTGAGCCAGTTGCAAATTGTTATTATAGATGAAATATCAATGGTAAATCAAAAGTTACTTTGGTATATCCATGGGCGATTACGGCAAATTAAGCAGACATGCAATGATTCTCCCTTTGGAAATGTTTCAATAATTGCAGTCGGTGACTTTTATCAGTTGCCTCCTGTGATGGGTACTCCATTATATAAAGACACACTGGAAGGTTCATTGTGGATAGATAACTTCAAACAAGTACAATTAGATCAAATCATGAGACAAAAAGAAGATGCAGAATTTGCTCTTTTGTTAAACAAATTGCGTACAAAGGAAAGAACTGATATATTGTCTGAAGAAGATTTAGCAGTTCTAAATTCGTGTGAAACTGGAGAGGAATGTGAAGATGCCCTTCATATTTATTCATTGAATAAGCAAGTTAATGAATGGAATAAAAAAATGTTGCATAAGACCTGTACAGATATCATATGCATTGCAGCAAAAGACACTGAAGTGAACAGCAGGAAAAATAATAAAATTTGCGATGTACCTCGCAATTCACGTCAAAGCAGTTTGCTAAGTTTTTTGTGGATTGCACCAAATGCTAGAGTGATGTTGATAAAGAATGTAGATATTACAAAAGGGTTAACAAATGGATGTATGGGACATGTTGAAGAGATAATTAAGCCAAATGAAAGTTCTACACCAATATCTATTAAAGTAAAATTTGACAATGATGACATTGGTATTCAGCCAATTGAGATGCATCAAGAGTCCATGGGGAAAAAATATAGTCGAAAGCAATTTCCTCTTAAATTAGCATATGCATGCACAGTTCACAAAGTGCAGGGAATGACAATGAACAAAGCAGTAGTTTGCCTTAAGAAAAGTTTTGTGTCTGGACAAGCATATGTCTGTCTCTTATACACATCTAGATGTGTATAAGAGACAGATATAACCCTTTCTTTGATGATATATATATATATATACATATACATGTAGGTATATATAAATTTAATTGAAATAGAACAGAAGAGGAATCTGACAAAAAAAAAGAAACTCAGCCTCCACCACGGAGTCATAGGCCTATACAGTATACCAGTACGCGCGGATGAATTAAACGCTTTTTACACAGTAAAACATAAGGTAGAAGCTAAAAAAGCTTCGAATATATTGTCATGAAAGTACAGTGATTATTATTTTTAATGGAATCTGTATTCAAATATTAGTCGTATGATTATAGTAGGCCCTATTTGTTGCTGTTAAAATAGTTTTCAACAAAAATTCCCAGTTCGTGTATTTAAATTATTTTCAAAAGTATGACATTTTATTCTTATATGAAATGTGACTTTACAAAGGCGTGTCGGCAAAAAAATATTCGTTTGAAATAAATTTTGTATGTATGCAATTGTTTTACTTTGATATCTGCTTGTATCTATTTATGAGACATATGTGGAACCAACTACATCGGATTTTACTATAAAATGCATATAATAGAGTACTTTATACACATATACACGCGTTGAGCAGAGCGTTTTCTAGCAATACATTATTTACATCAATGGTTTCAAATATATTAATTTAATACAATATATCTTTTCAATTGACATCAATTCAAATTGACATTTATTCACTGCCTTTTCAACTTCGAACAAAATAATACAGATTCGGAAATAATGATAAAGGAAAAATGAAATATCAACCTGCTTAGTATGTATTTGCATAGTATTATATCCATGGTTTCCAGAATGTAAACAGAAGCAACAGCAAACTCTATCATAAATGAAAACTAATTTCATTATAGCTATAGAATCAATAATCATTAAAGAAACTGTCGACATTCATGAATCATATATACCTATTCTTACCTTAGTGATTTAACGAGGCAAGTAGTTAAAAAATCGCAGAAACTGTCGCGTCTCTTTAGCTGAGAAATGTGACTGCCAGAATTTGACCTGTTAGCAATAAATACGCAAATCTCAACATGGACCAGACTGAAAAAAACACCAGCCAAAATTCTTTGACTTGACTTTCAGTCTACGGCACTGCATCCAAAGTACTTGGTCATTAAACACAACGAAATATTAACTGGTTCAACGAAAATATACCGACATCAAGTACTTAGAAACAAGAAAACAGGATGTACAGTACGCGATATGCAACAGCACTACATAACAATCATAAGGAGAGCTGCAGTAAAATACTTCTAATTGAACTTTTTGAATCGGAACTTCTTAACATATTTAATCGTATCATGATGCAACTGCAGCATAGCATACAAACATTTCATAAACATACTTAATTAAATCAGAAATAAACATTGATTACTGAAGGTATTGCAAAATGTAAAAAAGATCTATTGTTCAATTTAAGAGACACCAAACGCTTAACAACACAGTCAACTACATCTCAAAAAAAAAAAAAAAAAAAAAAACACAAAAAAAAAAAAAAAAAAAAAAAAAAAAAAAAAAAAACCTTCTGAAATAGAAATAAGAATTTCACTTTAATCAATTGGAACAGAATATGAATGATAATAAAAGTACTTGAAAAACCAATAATGATGTTTAGGGAGGAAAAACAAAGAATATGATTCCACCGAAAACTAATTTAGGTCCTGTTGAAAACTATGATAAATAAAAATCATTAAAGACATTATTTTAGCATCTTGCTATTAATAGCAGCGAAAAAGACACTATAACGCTAAATCCCAAAAAGTACCTAACAGCAAACTGCATTAACTATTTAAAAATAGATATTTAGGAAATATTAAAGATCACCTGAACATGATGGTTAGCAATTCATAAAAATGTTACTAAGGCCATAATTAAACCACTTGCACGCATTATCAATATTTTTCTCACCACCGAACGCTTTTCTCATCAATCAAAAACAACCAAAGCTACATGACCGGTTGCAGATTTTCGTCTTAAATTTACAATCGAAGACAGAAGTGGTGTACCAACTGCCTGCCGGTCTTCCGTACCACTACACACTCTTAAATGATGGCTAGGAAGAATTTTACAAACCTTGGCACTACTTCTCGGGCCTGTAGCCGGGTGGACGGGGGTAGGCGAGGAAGTGGGTTATGGTTCTGGAAAACTCCCTTCAGCAAAACCTCCTACCACTTTGAACAAACTACACTTCCAAAAAATATGGCTCCTGATAGGAGCATTAGTATACTAAAGAAACTAGCCTTTTACAGTTACTGCATAGTTTGTTGACAATGCTACATCAAAATGGTAAA